TTTTTTTTTTTTTTTTTTTTTTTTTTTGAAGCAAAGTTGGGCAAGGATCATGTAAAAACATCAGAGTGTCTGGCTGTGTTTGACCTGCCCATCTTCCCCTTCATCCCCAGCTTCAGGGGTTTGGTGGAGACCTTAAAAAAAACCCCTCAAACCCCAAATTGCTTCTGAGGAACGTGAAATCCTGATTATGGAATTGTTAATTGTGGTGGGTTTGTGTTCCGCCTGCTCAGGAATCCTGCTGGTGGTCTGTGCGTGGACTGAAGGGCATCTAAGGAGAGTTTTGGTTAAAATGCACTTTTCAGGGTGTCTGTGTGAAAGCAGGACCTGAAATCCATGGTTTTGGGTGCAAAGCACCATTTTAGTTTAATGGACAACTAAAATATTGAGGCATTTTCCCCCTATAGCTAAATTGGCTATTGCAGCAAGACAAACCAGCAGAGAAAGGTGGGCAAAGAGCCCTGAGAGGGGACTGATGGAGGCTTTTATCTGGGAGAGGGGAATTCCCCAGCTTTTCTTGTGTTTGAAAATCCTGTTTTCAGCTGCCTGTATTTTGTCAAAACTCAGCTAGAACTTTCCAGCTGGTAGTTTAGTTTGCTGGGAGATGTGCTTTTTGGGAAGGCTCTGATGCGAACCATGCAGCTGATTTGGAGAAGGGGAGTGAGAAAATACTCTTCTTTTTGTTTTGTTTTGGTTTTTACAGTGAAAAAGAAATACAAATAAAGGCACAGTGACCATTTCAAGTCACGGTGCCCCTGCCCCTGGGAGCAGCGAGTTGATGTTTGGCAGATGCCTCTTTTGCAGTTCCCATAAAAATCCACCAAAGCTGGGCCAATTTGGAAACAAGTGAGGGAACAGGGGGGCAGGGAATTAGAGGAGGAGGAGGGAGAAAAGCTGTGTTGCTGAAGCATCCCTGGATACCACCCTCGGGTTGGATCCTGTCCTTCCTGTTCCCACAGGGAGCGTCATTTTGGGGAAGCTGCTGGAAAACAATCTCTCCAGAAATGGCATTCCCAGAGCAGTGTGTGTTTTTGGAGACCCTGGATCTAGGGGTTTTTTGGGTCCTCTGTGTGTGTGAAAATATCTGTGTGTGTGTGTGTGTGGATGTGTATGGTGGTGAAGGTGGTAAAATCTATCTACATAGAGGGGTGGGAGGGTTCAGGGACAGGTTGGACAGGACAGCTTGGAGGAACCTGGGATCGTGGAAGGTGTCCCTGCCCGTGGCAGGGGGTGGGAATGGGAGGACCTTGGACACTTCCAGGGATCCAGGGGCAGCCACAGCTTCTCTGGGAATTCCAGCCCAGCCCCTCCCCATCCTCACAACCAAAAATTCCTTCCCAGTATCTCATCTATCTCTGCCATTCCCTGTGTCCTGTCCCTCCATCCCTTGTCCCCAGTCCCTCTCCAGCTCTCCTGGAGCCCCTTTAGGCTCTGGAAGGGGCTCCAAGCTCTCCCTGGATCCCTCCCTTCTCCAGGTGAGCCCCCCCAGCTCTCCCAGCCTGGCTCCAGAGCAGAGGGGCTCCAGCCCTGGCAGCATCTCCGTGGCCTCCTCTGGACTCTCTCCAGCAGCTCCACGTCCTTGTGCTGTTGTTCCCCAGGGCTGGAGGCAGCTCTGCAGGTGGGACTCTCACCTGAGTGGGGCAGAGGGGGCAGAATTTTGTGCCCCATAAAATAACAGCACCTTTTTCCCCATAAAATAACCTTTTTTTCCCCCATAAAATAACGCTGTAACCTCAGGATGCCAGGGATGAACAGATACCTCTGCAAAATTTGCCCAGCAGGAATCAGTAAGTGCATGAGGTGGTGCGCTGCAACAAAACAAACCAGCAAAGAACCTGCTTGGCTGAAAGATGGTGTTAAAATGTAACAGGACTCTGGACTTCAAGGACCTTCTAATACAGCTCTTGCACTTGTTGAAGTTACGGAGTTGAGCATCCTTGCAGGTGGCACCAGGCATTGTTCTTGTGGTGACAAAGGCCCGTTTTTTCAGGTAATTTTTGTCTGATAGGTGTAGATAAGCGGCTTCATTCCTCTGATGACCACTTCTGCTCAATCAAAAGCAACTGAGGGTGGGATTTGTGCTGAGAGGGGGGAGCGGGTTCTCCCTGAGCTCCTCAGAGAGGACCCAGTTCTGTGTGTCTGGGCAGCATCAAAGCTGTCCTTGAGGGTTGTGTAAGCCCCTGCCTCTGCTCTCTTTTCATCAGGAGAGGAAATAAAAGCCATGCCAAGGCTGTGCTAGAGCCGTGGGGCTGTAAATGTGATGATCCTGGGGAGTTCCTGGGAGTCCTGGCTGCTGCTGGGATTTTTCCTCAAGGACAGAGGCATTGCCAAGGAAGTCTGGGGAGCTCACGGATCTGCTGGAGCAATAAATCCTTACAAGAATGTGATAAATGACTTGGAGTAATAATCCAGATGAGTTGTAAACCAGAGGGGAAGGAGTGAGCAGGGTGGGCTGTGCCTGAGGAAGAGGCAGAAACAGTCCAGAAAAACTCCAGGAACAGTCTCTGTGGAAAGGTCCCTGTGGCTGAGCTGAAGAGCCATTCTCAGCTTGAACTCCCAGAATAAGAAGTTTTTAATGCCATCTATGGACATGTGAGCTGAGAAATAGGAGCAAAGGGTGTTTTTACTTCCAAAAAAACCCGCGTTTTTGAAAATAACTGGTGGAAAAAGCTTATTATTTAGCTCCGATGTGGGAATTCTAAAATAGACGTGGGAAAAGCTGCAGATCCTGGGGAAGGAGCAGCAGGGCAGTGGCTGAACGCAGGGAGGAAATATCTGGGCTTGAACTTTGTAATTCTCCCACTGAACTTTGTAATTCTCCCGTTTGTGGGTCAGGAGAGAGACTGGGACACGAGTCCCTGCTGTGGGAAGAGTGTGCTGGATCCTGCCGAGTCTTTCGGAGAGGACGGGGAGAAGAACCAACTGTGGGCTGTGATTAATCATTGGAGCAAATTCCCAGGGAGGGATGGATCTGCTGCCCCTTTGGATGCATCTCTGGAAGTTGTACTTTAGGTAGAAGCAGGTAACTCAGATTTCCTGGGAGTTTCCGTTCCCTTTCCCGAGGGCACCGTTTTTTTGCTGTGAAAGCAAAATGCCCTCAGGGAACAGAGGGTGGTTTTGCACCCTAAAATGCTGGAAGTTCTTGCTTGGACCACTTCCTGCTGACTGAATTTTGGCAGGGGGCGTTTTTCTGGAAGGAAATTGTTGCTCCCTCTGTACGTTCTCCCTGCGGCAGAAGGAAGAGCCGTGCCTAAAATGCCTCTTGCTCTTCTTCTTTGCAGCAGTTAATTTGGCCCTGCTGAGCATCCCTCACTTTCCTGCTAATTCTTCGTGCCACTCAGCAGGTTTAAGGTGGAAAGGGTTTGTAATATTCCCAGCTGTGTCTTCAGGTGAAGAGGGACACTGAGAACCTTAGTGTGAAGGTCCACTTGTTACCCCTGAATGTCTCGAGCCTCCAAAGCCTGTGAGAAGTGGCTTCTTTATGGAAGTGTTTCTGAGTTATATAAGGGAGGAAAAAAAAAAATCCTTTTTTCCCTTCTTTCCCCTCAAAAGTAAGAATTATTTAGGTTGGAAGAGCCCTCTGGGATCATCCCTGTGCATTCCTCCTTTTCTGGTGCAAAGCCCTCACCATGTGTCATCATATCAGCTTGGCTGGCAGGCTGAGGGTATTTAGGGATTTTTCAAAGGGGATCCTCGTCCCTTTGGGGTTTCGGTGTCACTTGGCCATCCGAAGAGACAAAGGACATCAAAAGGGAAGTGGTGGCTTCTGGAGTTGGTGGCTGGGGGCGCCCAGACCTTTCAGTGGAGAGTCTCCAGCACGAGCTGCACCCTGCCTGGTGTGCTGGCAAGCTCCCAGTCCTCTGCAAGGTAAATTATTAGCTCAAAATCCCTTTTCCCTTCCGGTGAATCAGCAGCTTTTGGGGCACCTCCAGCCTGTCTGACTTTGGATCAGGAGTGTGGACCCAACCTGGCAAAGCCTGTGCAGGTAAAGGTCAAGGAGGAAGGCAGGAGAAACTAATCCTTCACTGGCAGGTTTGGGCTTGACTCTTGGAGGGAGTGAGTGTGTGTGTGGGGGGATAATTTCCCAATTTGTTTCTGGGAAATCAATTGTTTGTGTTCAGGTTTAGGGAAGAAATGAATGGTTTATCCCTCCCAAGCCTTTTGAAATTCCTTTCTTGCAGCAGGATCCTTAAAGTCTTGGTTTTTCTCTCTGCTTGCAGCCACAATTTCCCTGTTTGTGGGATTTCGTTTGCTGAAGTGGAAGGGAGAAAGGGGCTCTTTGGGGTTTTCTTCGGGGGGTTCCTCCCCCTGTAGGCCCCTCCTGCCTTATCCCACTCTGGAATGACATCAGGATCCCCAAACACTCCTTCATTTCCAGCTGTTTTCCATGTTCTTTTCCAGAGCGTTGATGTGCTGGGTGACCTCTGCAGAAACAATCCCGCAGAAAAAGTGCAGTTAATGGGCCCAGGTGGGTTTGTTCCCAGTTTTATGGGACATGGTGCCTGTGTTAGCCTGGGAAACTTTCTGCTCTTCACTTTAATGTTTTATTTATTTAATGTTTTGTGTTGTCCAGACTTCTGCTGGCCTTAATGGCACTTGACATGAGGGTGCCAGGAATTCTTTCTGGAGCTCTGGATCTGAGCTTGTGTTGTCCCATGTCTTGCTGAGGTTGGGTGAGAGTGTTGATCATCCCAACAGGAATGATTTCCATGGGCGTATTCCCTGTGTTAGGCTGCAATATTTGTCTGCCTTAGTGAGGGAGAATGAGCTTAAATAACCTGCTGAAAACAAATTTTAGATATGGAGTAGCACAGTGGGGAAAAATAATGATGGTGCAGGCAGGGGAGGGGAAATAAAACCAGCCTGGATAAGAGCCTTGAAAGAAGAGAAAATAGGGAAGCAAGTGGACATAATTGTCAGGAGAGGGTGAGATGGAAGCAGACTGGGATGTTTTTGTGACCAGGGGGTAAAGGGAAAAAGCTTTTTGGTGGGCACTGTGAGGATGAGCAGGCACCATCTGACACCCCCCCCTTCCAGACGAGACTGCAGCAAAGGTGACCTGGAAAACTTCTGTTAACACATTCAGAGGGAAAGCTCCCAAACCTGAAAATCCCAGCCAGTCCAGAGGAGGCCACGGAGGTGCTCCCGGGGCTGGAGCCCCTCTGCTCTGGAAACAGGCTGGGAGAGCTGGGAATGTCCAACCTGGAGAAGAGAAGGATCCAGGGAACCCTTGGAGCCCCTTCCAGTGCCTAAAGGGGCTCCAGGAGAGCTGGAGAGGGACTGGGGACAAGGGATGGAGGGACAGGACACAGGAAATGGCTTCCCACTGCCAGAGGGCAGGGAGAGATGGGAGATTGGGAAGGAATTCCTGACTGTGAGGGTGAGGAGGGGCTGGGCTGGAATTCCCAGAGAAGCTGTGGCTACCCCTGGATCCCTGGAAGTGTCCAAGGCCAGGTTGGATCCACCTGGGCTAGTGGGAGGTGTCCCTGCCCATGGCAGGGCTTGGACTGGATGGCCTTTAAGGTCCCTCCCAACCCAAACCCCTCGGTGGTTCTGTCACCTCAGCTTGGTTTGGGCTCGTGCTATTTGACCAAGAACATCCCCATTCATTCTGCCCTCCCACAGAGTAACATCCCCCTCTGTTTTTCGGGGTCAGTTTTCCCGGTGGGATCTGGAATTGAGTCCTTTCCTGGTCAGGCACCTCAGCAGTGGGATGCTGTCCCCCCTCCAGCCCCACAGTGTCCAGGCAGCTGGATGAGGATGGAAACCAGCACCTCTTCCCAGCTGGGCGTGGTGAGGAGAAGGGCTGATGTGAATTAAACTGGGGGGTTTTGGGTAGTTTTGTGGGTTTTTTTTGATGTTTAAATGGCAGCTTGTGATGGCCCAGATCCTGTTGTGACAGCGCCTCTGAAATCCTTAAGCCGCTCGAATCGCTCCGAGGGGCCAAGCAATAAAAGAGCCAGAATAAAATGTATCCCACGATGTCCTTCGCTTCTGCTGACAAGTGCAGTTTAAATTACTGGCGCAACCTTTTAGCGTGGCTGGCTTGTAAAAACTAATAAAATATGAAATGAAGTTATAACAGCTTCTCTGATGGGGAGCAGGGAGAAGGCACCTTTTTTTTGGGGGAGGGGGGTGAGCCTGTGCTGGGGTGCTGTCATAGCTGTTAGTGACAGTGGTCAGAATGAAATATTAAGTGGTCAGAATGAAATATTAAGTAAAATATTAAGTAAAATATTAATAAATACAATAAATATTAAGTAAAATATGCTGGAATTTTTTACATCATGGAAGTTATATGGTGTTCATTAGAGAAAAGGCTTTGCTTTTATCATAAGGTGGCATTTGTCCCAGGAGCAGCCTGAGGGTTTCCAGAGCTTACATTAGAGTTAGGCTTTTCAAAAAACCAAACCTGGATTGCCTGGGAAATCTTCTCCACACCTTCTAGTGGAAGGTGTCCCTGCCCATGGCAGGGGGTTGGAACTGGGTGATCTTTTAGGTCTCTTCCATCCCAAACCATCCTGTGGTTCTCAGGAGAGTGGTTCCTTTGGCTGGTTCACATCCCATTTCCAGACCCTCCAATTCCTTGGGTCCTTTGCCCCCAGGGGCTGGAGTTTCAGGGACTCAGAATAGCTGGTGGCTTTGAAAAAAACCACATAATTTAATTGCTATAAATCTTGTTTTATAAACAGAAGGAAATGCCACCGACGGCCGAGGCAGCGCTGAAGGATCATCCTGGAGCCTTGGGCTTGAGTTATTGGGCTTGAGCTGGACCTGGTGGGTGGAGCTGGTGGTGTGTCATGTAACAGGTCAGACCAGGGGGCTTGCAGTGGGTCATCTTTGACCTTGGCACTTACAGATGATGTAGTTAATAATTTTATTTAATCTTTTGTGGGAAATGATCCCGTGGATACAACCTGAGAGCTGCCAGTTGATTGTCAGGTGTTATAGAGGAGGAGTTTTCTGTGAAGGGAGCTGAGAACACCTTTGAGCTGGCTGAGAGCTGCTCTCTCTCATCCCTTTGAGATCTGAAACATCCCTTCTCCAAGTTGTCCCATCTGGGCCTGTGTCCTCACTAGTGTCCTCCAGCCTCTCACACTCAGATTTGTCAAACCTCTGGGAGCTTCTTCAGGCCGACTGCGCCATGAGTCATTGAATCCCAGAATGGTTTGGGAGGGAAAGGGACCTTAAAGCTCATCCCGTTCCGTGGGCAGGGACACCTTCCACTATCCCAGGCTGCTCAATCCCTCAGCTGTTTGGAGAGGCCTGGAAGGAATGTTTGTATCCATGTGCTGTTCCACAGCCCCTCCTGCTCGATGATGCCTCGAGGCCGTGCAAAAGATGTTTCTTAAGTACATGTGGTTTTTGTCTGTGTTTTTTTATATTAAACAGGAGAAAAGACCTTGAGATCAGAGCTGGGAGAAAGAAGAGAAGTGGTGGAGGAGTCGATGTGTGACATGGAACGGGCCTGAGCTGAGGAGCTGAGGGACAACAGGTAAGGCACAGACGAGCCCTGCGGTGTCAGTCTGCCCCGTGCATCTGTTTGGTTGTGTTTTAACATGTTGCATTTTAACGTGTTTCACCAGAATATCTCATCACCCTTTCTGGCAACACTCTCCTCCTCCCACAGTCCAGTTACAGCAACGGTGAGATGAGGAAAGCTTGTGAAAACAGGGCAGGCCCACCACTACAGTGTCACCCCCAGAGCATTCATCAAGCCCCTTACTGTATTTTTTTGGCCGTCAGCTCTTCTGTTTAATCATCTGTTCTTTTGCTGAAAGTTTTAGCCAAGTTCATTTGGCAGGGCTTCAGGGGAAGAAGTGACATTTCCCAGTGATGTGATTTCAGCAGTTTTTAAGTCCTGATCTTCGGGGTGGTGTGGAATGTCACTGATGGTCTGAGCTCTCCAGCTCAGTGTCTTGGGATCCCAATCCCCGCTCACAGCTTGGGGGGGGAGGGGAGTTGAGCTCTGAATCTTTTCTTCTTCAGCATCATTCCTCATGCCCCAAAACTCTTTGGAGTGGGGGTTGTGTCACCCTGCAAGGATTAGTCCAGCTCAGCTCTTGAGGGAGTGTGTGGCTGACTGGGAGCCAGGCTCGCTGCAGAGGCTGGAACTGCTGCCAGCAGCACATTTCTCCCTCACCAGTTTTCTTCTCACTGCTGTGAGGGAGCCAGAGGATGCGATTCTGTGCCCTGTGCTGAGCTCCTTCAGGCAGACTCAGGCTCTGGAGCGTTGTCAAAACTGCTGATGGGTTTGGGCTTGAGCAAAGGTGTCAAGAGGCAAGGGAAGTGGCTGGAGCTTGGAGCCACTTCTGCCTCTCCCAGGGAATGGTGTTCCCTGGCAGAGGGACACCGGGACAGCGAGGGGAGGTGTAACATCCTACACAAAGCCTCTCTGCCAGCCCAGGTTTTGGGGTGGAAGTAGCTTCCTTCCACAGTGGATTCTTGCTGGGAGCCACCGTAGTTAATTCAAGTCGGGATTTGGCTGCCAGGTGGAACTCCTGCTCCTAGGAGAAACCTGGATGAAGTGGAATTGGCTGCTGTAGCACAAGCGGAGCAGGTGCTCTCAAGGCCCCTTCTGCCTTGGACTCTGCTGATCTGTGAAGGAATGTCCAGTGCCACAGGAGCAGGTCGAGCCCCTGCTCTGAGTTGCTGTCAGGAGGTTTCTCCAGGAGCTCCTTGCCCTCGTGTGCCGTGTCTGGAGCATCTGCTCCATCTGTTCTTGGGCTGAACCTTTTCCAGCAGGTTTAGCAACTGTGCTGCTGTTTCCCTCCAGGAAGTCCAGCCATGCAGGACTTTGTTCAACCTGTGGGACTGTGACAAGCCACCAAGGCCCTCTTAATTTGCCTTTTTTATTAATTTTCTTTTCTGCCTCCCCACCCCAAGCCCCATATCTGTGCATGTAAAGAGGGTTTTTTTTCCCTGCCTCGTTCGAGTGGAGGAGTAAATCCTTCTTGATTTATTCCAGAGCAGCCCTCGAGCTCAGCTCCTGGGAGATCCTGCTGACTCGGAGTTCAAAAGATCTCCCGGCTTTGAGGCCAGGCTGTGGTCTTCCATCTTGCCTCAAAGTTAAACTTAAAGAGAAAATTCCTTTTTTTTTTTTTTTTTCCCCTTAAAGAGAGAGAAAATCAGCCTGCTGGGCGAGGCAATCACACTTACCTGCAGCAGCAGAGGATGCCAACAATGCAGAATGCCAGGTTAAAATCCGATTGTTTAGCAAGCCTTCATTTTTGAGAACCGAGAGCCTGTTGTTCAGTGAAGAGTTCCATGGAGATAAAGACTTCCTTTTAAAGCAGGGCTGGTTGCCTGGCTGGCATCCAGCCTGTGATCCTACCTTCAGGCATGTTTTTTTGGGGGAGTGTTTAAACCACAACATCACCGTGGTGGCTACAAATGGTATAGCTCTGGTCCCTAAATCTGCTCCAGATCTGCTGGTTTAAATTGGATATTGGAAAGGGATTCTTTACTGTGAGGGTGGCGAGGCCCTGGCAGAGAGGTTGTGGACTTCCAGTCCCTGGAAGTGTCCAAGGTCAGGTTGGACAGGGCTTGGAGCAATCTGGGATGGTAGAAGGTGTCCCTGCCCATGGAAATGGGTGGAACTGGATGAGCTTTAAGGTCCCTTCCCACCCAAACCATTCTGTGGTTCAATTAGAGGTGCAATGGTAATCTGGCATCCCAAACTTGCTTGTATGGAATATAAACCTGGGAGGTGCTTGTCTGTATTTTTCTAAAAATCTCCAGTGTTGGTGTGACATTCTGGGGAGAAAAATGATCTTTTTCACAGGTGATTTGGTGACAGCTCAGGTGGCCCTCACAGGTGTACTGAAAGTCCCAGGTGGCGTTTTTACCCAGCCTTTCTCATGAGAATTCCTCTAGAAACCCTTTCTTACAAAGTTTTAGGGCCTGTGTTCCCATGAGCACCTTGGTGTTTATACTCCCCTTCTGGGAAAAAAACCACATCTGGGAAGCCATGCAGGAATTCAGTGAATCCACTCAGCTCAGGGGACAGGAAAGGATGGGGAATATTCTGATTCCTCTTCTGTCCCCACCTCCCCTGCTCTTCCTTCAGCACAGAAAACCCCCACACCCACCTTGTCTTCTGAGCCAGCCACGAAATAGGAAAATGTCAGGGTTTTTTTTCCCCCCAAATGTAATTTGAAATACGATGACTGGACCGTTCACTCCTAAGCAGCTTCCAGCTTAACAATAAAGAGACTTCACAGAGCGCTTGGCAGGAGCCTCTGTACATAATTCAGATCATAATCAGATGCATTAACACATCTTGCATGGATCTCAGGGGGGGCCAAGGAGACGAGGTGTGCTGGGTAATTTCTTCCCAGATTTCTTCACCTGGTTGGTTGTTGCTCTTGGGGCCCGAATGTCACCGGCTCAGTCCTGCTGCTCCACGTGCCTGCATTTAGAGCAGCCAGGCTCCAAACGGCTCAAGTGTTGGGTTATCACCGGTCCTTCCCTCTGGAGGTGTCAAAGGGAGGGTGGAGGAGGGTGTGGGGAGGGAGAGGAGCAGGAGCTCAGGTCCCATCCCACACCGTGCCTGGAGCTCGGCGTTAGGGAAGGTGCCAGGAGTGTTCCCCCCCTGAGGGCAATCCCTGCGCGGGGGGAGGCCCTTCCTCTGCCCCCCTTCCCACCTGAGCTGGTCCACATGAGCGGCTGGGCTTTTAATGAAGCTTCTGAAAGCTTTTTTGACTCTTCCCCCCCCCCCCGTGAGGAGAAACAGCTGCAGGTCCTTTGCGTCCCTTCGTTGCTCTGCCAGGAATCCGCCCGTGCCGGAGACATCCTTGTGAAAGCCTCTGCTTTTGACAGAAAAATCTGTTGCTGCTTTGATAAACAATGTGTTTTTGGATGTCTGTGCGCTCTGCTGGGTTTGTGTTATCCCCACAAAAGGTGGCAGGTGAAGCTCCCTGTCACTTCAGTGTCTCCTTTTATGCGTGCTGGGGGTATTAACCCTCCCAGTGTGGTTCCTGAGGATTGATTATTGAGTGCTGGGAACTGGTGTGACACTGGGATTCCCAGTCCTTCCCCAGCCAGGCCTCTGCTCCCAGGTGGATGCACAGCTCAGGACTGGGAGCCTGGTCAGTGGGGCATGAGGGTGCAAACCCAGGGTGTGATCCTGGCCCGCTGGTACTGACCCACAGGATCCTGGAGGGGGAATCACATCCCCAGGGCAGGGCAGGCGTGGCCAGAGTGTTTGGGAAGGTGAGAAAGAGCATGGAAGTGGCTGGATTACACCAGCTGGACCTGGGGTGGAGAACAGGCC